GTGTCGTGCAGCGGGTATGGTGGCTGCATGACATTGTTTTGCATCATGAAGTTGACGACCGACTGCAGGTCTGCCAACTGTTTAGCCAATCTTTTTACTTCTTCATCCCTCCGCGGGCACCTATCCCTCCGCGGGCACTATCCTTCCAACTTGGAGATTATCTTCGTTATAGTACTTGTTTTGATCTGTCTTCTTCGAAGTGTCGTCCTCCTGGCCGACGTCTTTCTTTCTGTGGCCATGTGTCACGAGTTTCTGCATTGTTGTTGTCCCTTCAATATGCAAGTCCGATAGTGTGCGACTCCCTAAGCAAGTATACAGCTGTTCGTCCCATCTTTTTCTTCTGGTCCGTTACTTGGCCATCTATTACTTCTAAATTTCCCACGACTGCGGCCCAATTGTGTGAGTGATTTTCTATACCACTGCCGCTAGTACCAGCTGCGAGCAGCACCTGCAGAAGATGGCTTCAGTTAACCGTAACAGAAAGAAAAGGCTGCCGGCGGTGGCTCTTCCACCTCGGGGCATTCTCTGAATGATCAGTTCAGAGATGTACTCTCAAAGATAAGATCATAGTAACTAACTCACTGCTCAAGCAGCATAAATTACATACCATACGACCCAATGGGGTGTGCCTTTTTTTTAATAGGTTTACTGTATGAGTCCTAGTCCGATTAGAAGCTTGAACTTCCTAGTGCACCTGTGAACTCCAAATTCAGGTACCTTACTTGGACTCTTTCAAGAGATAAAGATAAACTTCTCGCAAGAACTTTATCCTTCATCATGGCTAAGTCTCCTCTATTTCTAAGGAGCTGCTTGTCCCTTATCCTCGTCCTACTCTCAAGATACCGCTATATCTTCGAGACAACCTCGAACGTTTCATGAACCTGATACCGACATTCTCGACTGACACATCAGCGTCACCTTGTCACAGTTGTTTGGAGCTAAAAAATGTTAGGAGATCGCATCATCTACCACAAAATCTAGGCAAGTTTGGGCATGATTGAACAAAAGAAGAAAGTCCAAAAGTCACTATCTCCTATTTAAGTCACATCATCTATTAAGTCATTCACCTTTCTAACAGTAATCACTTCGAAAAACTCAACACCAACAACCACATCACTCATCATTCAGTAAAAAGTCAAAAAGTAACTGTATTAGTATTTCCAAAACATACGGCCTAAATATAGGAATATATACCCCAAATAACAACTGGCAATTCCACTCTAAATCTTTGAAAAAAATAAAGTAAAATGAAGAGGGAAAAGAAATAAACAGGTAATGTCAAATTTGCCTTTTCATATAAAAAATTAAAAACATTGCTATCCTTTGTAGTAGGTAGCCTTTAAATACATAAAGTTCAAATACGTTCTAGCCACTTGAAGAATGAGTATCCGTCACTCGGTATCAGTTCAATTAATGTCAATCGAGATCTTTATTTTAATTAGGGTTAAGTTTCAATTAATAATTTGTCTAAATTAGGGTAGGTGTAAAAAGTAATTTAAATTGTAACGTAAAATAGTAAACAGTGAATATAAATTGTACCGAAACACGGCTTTTATTAGTATATACATGAATAACGTCGAATTCAATAACCAACGTTTTTAAAATCAATATATAAATTTTTTTTCTTTCAAAAAACGTGATTGTCTTTCATAATGTTGTAGAAAATATAGTTACGTAACCACGCTTTCATGCAGCACCCACCTCTTATCAATGCTTACAGCCAACACACACTCCTCACAACACTCAATGCTTCGACCAGCTTATCGAAGCTATACACTACTACTCACAACACACTCAACACACACTCTCTCGTCTCTCTCAGACACTAAAAACACACAGGCACTCACACATCACTCAAACTTCAGATATATTCGAAGATGTGTCGATTTTATATGCCATATTATAATGAGCTGTGATTAGGACCCCTTATAGTTCCACCTTACCTCACCACCCCCCTCACGAACACACGTGGGGTGTTTCGGGTGAGTGTGGAGAGAATGAAAGAGACAATAAATAAATAATAATTCAACCAACAAAAGGCAATAGGGGGTCGTGGGGTCCCTTGGAAAGGGGGTCATCACTCTTTTTTGTTATAATTTAATATATTATATATAATTTATTTCGATAAAATTGAATAATTAATTATTAATATATATCAATAATAATTTATAGTACAAATAATAATCAACTATATAAAATATTACTTTTTATTTGTTAATTCTTAATTTTTTTATTTTACTGTTTAGGAATAAAAAAAATTATTTATTTTAAGGTTTAAGGTTTAATTCTTAAAATTTATTTCTTTATTTTTAAGATTTAGCGATTAGAGGTAGGATTTATAAAAATAAATAAATTTTAAGAATTAAATCCTAAATCCTAAAATAAAAATTAAATAAATTTTAAGAATTAAACCCCAAATCCTAAATAAAAAAAAAAAAAAATTGATCCCTAAACACTAAGGCTAGCGTTTGGTAAACAATTACGTTTTTTAGTTTATGTTATTAAAAATTTATTAAACTGATTTCTGTTTAATTTTTAGAAAAACATAAAATACAAACGTGTTTGGTTTGAACACAAAGTTTAAAAAAATTTAAAACATAACCTAAAAAATATATTTTGTTCAAGGCTAAAATATTATATTTATATATTTATATTTATTATTTATACAATGGGATCAACATATTATAATTGAAAAAAATTAATTTAAAAATATTGAAAAAATTTAATTGGAAAAACGTGGTTTGTAAAATTATTGAAATTTTATTTTGGAAAAATCGTTGTGTTTATAAATGGTTGTCTCAATTTATAAATTTGAGGAAAAAAACGTAAACTCAAAAAATGAGTTTACGTTTTCAATTTTCAAATTTTTTTTCAAATATTTTTTTTTTCAAATATTTTTTTTTTTCCAATAAATATTTTTGCAATTATTTTTTTAATTATTTTTTAAAATATAATATGTGTGATCTCATTGTCATTAATTAAATATAAACCACGTGTTTTTTTCAATTTTTTTTTTCAATAATTTTTACAAACCACGTTTTTTCCAAATTAATTTTTTCCAAATATTTTTAATTTAATTTATTTTCACCTATAATGATGTTGTGATACCATTGTCATAAATAATAATATAAATATAAATATTTTAGGCTTGAACAAACATATTTTTTAGTTATAGTTTTAAATTTTTTTAAACATTTTGTTCAAACCATAAACAAGTGTTGGTAATTTATTGTTTTTTTTAAAAATAAACAGAAACCAGTTTATAAAATTTTTATAAACATAAACAAAAAACGTAATGTTACCAAACACTGACCTTAGTGTTTATAGATAAATTTTTTATTTTTTTTATTTTAGGGTTTAGGTGTAATTCTTAAAATTTATTTATTTTATTTTAGGGGTTTAGGATTTAGGATTTAGAATTTATAGTTTAATTCTTAGAAATTTATTTTATTTTATAAATCCTAAACCCTAAAAATAAAATAAATAAATAAATTTTAAGAATTAACCTTAAACCTATAAATAAAAAAAATCCCTAAACATAAATAAAAAAAAATTAGAATTAAATAAAAAAAGTAATCATTTATAAGTGCATTATTATTTGCTATTGTAAATTATATATATATATTTCATATTGATTTTAATTTATGAATAATAATTTATTATATATTGAGTGGATGTGTGTGAGTCATGTGTGTGTTCATGTCAGAGAGAGAGAGAGAGAGGAGGAGAGAGAGAGAGTTGTGAGTGTGTGTTTGGTGCAGCATTTGAAAAGCATGGTTTCTAATACACGCTTTCTTCACACACAGTGAAAGCGTGGTTAGAACACGTTTTTCTGAGAAAAAAAAAAAAAAATATTTAAAAGCGTGGTTTGAAATCACGTTTTATGATTAAACTTAAAACGTGGTTTGTAACTACGTCTTCTTAATTAAAAGCGTGGTTTGTAATGCACGCTTTTCATTTCACAAATTTTTCGCGGAAGAGACCTGGAAACAGTAAAAACGTGGTTTGTAATAGCGCTTAGCCTAGTTTGGAAATTCCGTCCAAACTAGACTAGTTAAAAAATAAGTTATTAATTTAACTTAATTTGGAAAAAGGCCCAGTATCCATTCATAATAAAATGAGGAATACTTCACCGGGAGTATAAGAAAAAAAAATATAAAAATAGTTGAGTTATAAATAATTTTTGTAAAAATGTAAGTGAATATCGTGAGGGTGCAATATAACTTAGGCTTATTTTGCAACATGGTTTGTAGTCATTTTTTTTGTTAGTTAGACAAGAGCTAAAAGTTGGCTTTTTGTCTTTTTTTTTATTTGGGAAGTTGGTTTTTTAGCCAACGGTGAAATTACAATTCTTTCCTCATGAGTCAAAATGTGTTACTAGGTGAAGTTTGATAAAATTTTAAATAAATAGAGGTAGTTTGGTCATTTTTATTATGATTTGACATCTATAAACAAACATAATAACAAAACAAAAGCCAAAAAGTCACCTTCTTTACCAACCTTTTCAAATCATTTGTTAAAAAGTCAAAAACTTGATTAAAGCCAAAAACTATTTTTTACACATCTTCCTAAAATAACCTATACAATCCTCCATGTTGGTTTAAAAATAAAAAAAAATTCTCTACTCCACTTAGACGTATCTCCCCTAAGACCATCTCTAACGGTGAACCAAAATTCAATATCAGATTTAAATTTGATGAAAATGTACTTTTCCATGCTCCAACCGATTGCATCAATGAATATCAAAATGAGGAAATCAGCAAAAAAAAGTATCAAACTGAGACAAGTTCTTGGATTTTACCAATCATGTTACTGGACCGTTGAAGGAGATACATCGGTTGCCCGGCCAGATTAGGCGAAGGTTTGGACTATGAGGGTTTGAACTGGCTGAATTGATGGGTTTGAACTGGTCCGTGGCCTGAGCTGTGTAGGTGATACCGGTCAACCAGCCGTTGACGGCTGGCTTGGGACCATCCGGTCGCCCGGTCTACCGCATGAGAATGGTACTGCCTGAACAGGTTTGTTTGACAGGTTTGGTATTGACAAGGTAGAATTGTGGACTTTGAATAATTTGAAATAATTGAAGGGTGATATAATTTTCAATTTCATTGAAAATATAATTCAAATTTTATCTTTTATATAAATATTTTAAATTAAGTCCGTTTCAGCTAAATTACCTGTTGCATCGACAGGAGTTTTTTTGATATTTGCCGCTCATATACATATTTTAAAAGTAGCCGTTTTAATAAATTTACCGTTGTATGAACAGAGTTTTTTTAAAATTTACCGTTGATAATGTGTGCTATAAAATATATCAGTTTTGTATATTAAGATGACAGAGTCTTTTATTTTGAGAAGAGCATTATATTGTATGTTGTGAATTTTGTTTCTTCTGTGATTTTTCTCCATTGCAACTTTAATTTATATTGTATATCATTCTAATATTTTTTACTATTTTACATATTGTATGTACTGTATTTTTTTGAAGTTATGGAAGATTTTCAAATGTTTGAAGAATCACAAATGTTTCAGCACAACACTGATATTAATTTTATGTCGGAAACTTCGCGAGAACAGAACACGCAGAGCAGTGATAATCATTTCATTTCAGAAACTTCTCGTGTTTCTCGTGGTAAAGCATTTACAATTATAGAAGATGAAACTTTATGTAGATCTTGGTTAGCAGTCTCTCAAGATCCCATTACTGGTAATAGTCAGACTATGGTTATATTTTGGGAACGAGTACTTGTTAATTTTAATTCACAATTGAGTGGTGAATCAAATCGAAACCGTATTTCTTTGTCTCACCGTTGGTTTGGCATGCAAAAGGCAATTAATAAATTTTGTGGTTTTCTTGAACAAATTCAACTGAGGCAACAAAGTGGAACGACTGAGGCAGACATGGTAACATTTATTTGTGTTATTAAATATCAAATTTCTTCTGTAAACATGTATTTGTTATTAAAATTGTTGTAATTTTTTTTTGTAGGTCGCTGAAGCAAAGCGGATGTATCATGTAATACAGAAAAAACACTTCACATTTGATACATGTTGGGATATTTTGCGCCGAAGTTGTAAGTGGGATGAATTTCGAACACAATCCAAAAAGAGTACGCAACATGCTTATCCATGTTCTAATCCACCAACTGGAGAATCTGATGCATTTCAATCCAACCAGAATAATGTTCTGCACGAAGAACCATCTAATCCATCAACACGACCAATTGGTACTAAAGCAGCGAAAGAGAAGTTGAAGAATCAAACAACCCACGATAGTAGATTTTATGAAATGGCTGCCAACCAATCCAAACTGGTTGAAGTGTTATCAACTATTTCTGCTAGAACTATTGAGCGAGATGAACAAAAGGCGATCGACCGTAACCAGAAAGCTGCAGACCGTCGAAGAAGGGCCGAAGATAGGGAGGAACAACTAAAACTCCTATCTATGATGAATGAAAGAGAACAACGAAATGAAGATCATAAAATAATGTCAATGGACATGACAAATTTAAATCCAATGCAAAGGGCGTACTACGAAGATCTTCAACGACAGATTTTATTTCGAACAACTAATAGATTACCTTGAAAGGTTCTATATTTACTAGTTTCATCTATTGGTGTCATCTATTGGAAAAGGAAACGGAAAAAATGTGCTATAATGAAGTAATTAACATAAACACTATCTTTTAAAATGCTTACTGAAAACATGAACTTAGAATTAAAATGTAGACATGTATTTTTAATGAAGCATGGCCACTGAAAATTTAAGAACATAGTAATGTAGTATAAAAGCATGCAGACTCTCTATTAGTACATATCAAATGAATGTAGCTCATGTTTTAAAACATGAGCACTGAAAATTCAATATTGTAGTTCAGGTTTTAGTAAATTACATTCATTTTATAGAACTACAAAGTAACATCAAGTACAAATCAAAATATTGTTCTGTAGTGCAGGTTTTAATAAACTATATTCATTTTAAAAACATTAAAGTAACATGAAGAAAAAATCAAAATCTTGATCTGTAGTTGAGGTTTTAATAAACTAATGTCATTTAAAAAACATTAAACTCAACTCTTGTTCTGTGGTTGAGGTTTAAATGAACTACATTAATTTTCAAGACATGAAAGTAAAAAACATTCATTTTCAAAACATGAAAGTACATAAACTCATGTTTTGTGGTTGAGGTTTTAATAAATTACATGTATTTTGAAAACAAGAAAGTAACATCAAGTGAAACTTAAAAAACATTAATTTAGAAAACATGAAAGTAACATATAGTGAAATTATGTTCCTGTCTTGTGTAACCCAGTTGAAGAATTGAGTGGCATGCACACTGGAACGAAAAAAAAAAAAAAAAATTGAAAGGGCCGGTTGACCAACCGGTCGCCCCGTGAATCACCTTGCTCCAATAATGCTGCCTTTTTGTTCTGTTTTGATGATCTGCCTTGTTTTGATGATCTGCCTTGTTCCTCTGTTCCTACTGATGCTGCTTTCGTGATGATGGAGATTCACACTTCAAAATGTAGAGTGTTCCTACTGATGCTGCTTTCGTGATGATGGAGATTCACACTTGAAAATGTAGAGTGTGCGGTTAGAGGGCTTCAGCGAAAACATGTGAAATGTGAATGTGGTGATGGCAATGTTAAGATGATATAGAGGATGGTAGGTGGTTGAATTGATATCTTCTGAATGGTAGGTGGTTCAATAAATGATTTTATATCATATAGTTCAATGTCTGTAGGGTCAATGTTGAATGTGGCAGAAAAGTAGGTTGAATGCATCAACATCAAAGTCATTTACGGATGGCACAAATAATTGATGCCACAAATAATGTATGGCATAAATACATTGAATAATGCACACATAATGTATGCATTGAATAATGAAAATGCATTGAATTTAAAATAAATATACATACAAATACATTGAATATACATACTGAAATGCATGCAATCAGTCCAATTATAAATATTGAAGATAAATCCTTACAAAAAAATTTATTAGAATGCACAAATAATGGCATGCATGATGAATCCCACGAGCCAGACCCCTACTTAATTCAATGCTTCATTTGATGAAAAATTGAATGCTCCAATCCTCACTTCTTAAAAATGCCAAACCCTTAATCATCAACTCTTTTTAAAAATTCCAAACCTATTCCCAAAAGTTTGAGAATCACGAATTTGGTAAAAAGCTTTTTTTTTGCCTTGATTTGATGAAACAAATGTAAAAGTTTGATGTAGATTGGAGGTGATTTTTACTAAATTTGTCATCAAATTTTAATTTGATAAAAGATTGAAGATTCTTAGGAAATGTGTGATTCACTGTTTAAGGATGGAAGGGAATCAATGAGTAATGGTAGGAATATAAATACAAAACACGAGACAGATATGTCTCATATGAAATGTGATGTACATGATATGAGATCCACATATAATACTCATTTCATGTAAAACATATATGTCATATTTTATATTTCATATTTGTGTTTCTACAGTTATTGGGGAATCAATAGTGAACCAAACTTGCAACTCCAAAACAGAATTATAGAACTCCAAAACAGAATTGTCATACTGAAATAAATTATTTTGATGATTGTTATAAATTGAACAGAGAACAATTATGAATATTGAAGATTGGATCACCACAATAGCACATCTAATCACATAACTTCTGCGTTACTTGGTTAATATAGTACATCATAATGAAGATTACAAACAAGACAACCTTCTATTTCTTTACTAAACAAAATTACAAAATATATCTGTGGTGAATCTAGTTTTCACCGCGAAGATGCCACATATGTTCTATTAAATCATTACGGAGGGCATGATATGCATTTTTATCCCTAATACCTAAATGACGAGACAAAAATGATTCAAAGTCATTGGTAGGAGTAGAGGAAAGTTGCACTGGTGTGTTGGTAGATGAAATTTCATAATCAAAATCAAGGTGCTCCTCCCTCTCATCTTCAACAATCATATTGTGTAATATAATGCAAGTCTTCATTATGTTGGCAAGCATTTTTGGATCCCAAAAACGTACAGCACCACCTATAATTGCGAATCGAGATTGGAGGACTCCGAATGCCCGCTCGACATCTTTCCTAGCAGACTCTTGCATCATTGCAAAATGTTGTCTCTTTGCTCCTTGGGGAGAAGAAATTGTTTGAACCAGTGTTGCCCATTGCGGGTATATACCATCAGCAAGGTAATAACCCATATCGTAACTATGTCCATTAACAGTATAGTGGACAGAGGGAGCCTTACCTTGGGCAAGATCAGAAAACAAAGGTGACCGGTCTAATACATTCAAGTCATTGTGTGACCCAGGCATTCCAAAAAATGCATGCCAAATCCATAAGTCATAAGAAGCTACTGCTTCAAGAATAATGGTTGGCTTTTTTTGATGGCCTACGTATTGACCTTGCCATGCTTTTGGACAATTTTTCCACTCCCAATGCATGCAATCTAAACTTCCCAACATGCCAGGAAACCCCCGAACCTCCCCAATAGCAAGTAATCTAGCAATGTCAGTTGGTGTCGGAGATCTCAGATATTCTACTCAAAAGATTTCAATGACTGAGTAACAAAATTGTTGAGGTGGTTGAATTGATAGCTTCTGAATGGTAGGTGGTTGAATAAATGATTTTATATCATGTAGTTCAATGTGTGTAGGGTCAATGTTGAATGTGGCAGAGAAAAGTAGGTTGAATGCATCAACATCAAACTCATTTACGGATGGCACAAATAATTGATGCCACAAATAATGCAGGACAAATTTATGGAATGGCACAAATTATTGATGCCACAAATAATGTATGGCATAAATACATTGAATAATGCACACATAATGTATGCATTGAATAATGAAAATGCATTGAATTGAAAATAAATATACATACAAATACATTATTGAAAATAAATACACAAATACATACAAATACATTATTGAAAATAAATACACAAATACATACAAATACATTATTGAAAATAAATACACAAATACATACAAATACATTATTGAAAATAAATACACAAATACATACAAATACATTATTGAAAATAAATACACAAATACATACAAATACATTATTGAAAATAAATACACAAATACATACAAATACATTATTGAAAATAAATACGAAAATAAGTAAATATTATGGATTTCAAAGTATCCATTACCCTCTGTTTTTGTTTAAGATATGATCCTTGTGTAGTTGTCTAGCATATAATAATGTGTTTTATATGAGATTTTGGTAAACCAATGGAGGGAAAAACAAATAGCAAAATAATTAGGAACAGAAAACGGAGGAAATCAAAAAGAAAAAAAATAAAAATAAATAAAGATTACGGTCGACCGGCCGGTCAACCAACCGGTCGCCCCCTACCAGTTCACATCGGTCAGTTCACTTGGTTGGTTCAAACAGTTTCAATGGTTGGTTCAAACACAGTTCATAAAAGGTTTTTAAAAAAAAAAAAAATTTTCCTCTACCCGGTCGACCAACCGGTCGACCATCCATTGTCCTGACTGATATTTGATGAAGGTGAACCGTTGGAGCGTGAAGTATCAAATTCAGGAAATGGTCATTTTTTAACTCAAATTTGATGAAATATTAGATTAACCGTTGGAGATGCTCTAATAAAATAGCTATTAGTCTGGCATTTGATTTGATCATTATCAGACAGAAACCCAGACAGCAACAACCAGCCATGACTACCCTCACAAGCTATTATTTTATTTATTTTTAAAATTTAATTTTTTATATCCAAAAAGTGTTAAATCACTACGTCAACGAATCATGTGATGAATTCAATATTAACATTGCTTAACTTTAGAAGCAATTAAGGGATTATTTGAGATGACGTAAATAAATATATTTTTATTTTTTTATAAAAAGATGTGTAAAAATTAAGAGAGTGATATGATGAAAAAAAATAAAAAAATAGATTATTTTGTAGTAGCCAAACTTGGCCTAATACTACCTCAAGTTTTCTGTGAATTTTCTAGGGATAGTGACTTGCCTCCATTTCACCATCTGAATTGGAGAGTTTAGTTCGGCTCATTTGACTCACTTTTGAGCTATTTTTTGATAAAGTTAAATTGTTCATATTTTAGAATTTGTTAAGTACATTATAGAGTTTGTTGAGTACATTATTCCTGTAAAAAATCACGTCGATCATAAAACGGATACTGTATTCGAATTACTTTCTTATAAATCAGTGTGTTTGGTTTGAGTTTTTTGAATTAAGTTTTTTTGAAAACTCAGTTTTTGGTTTTTGTGTATTTTATTTTTTAGTTGAATATTTTAAAATTTTAAATATTTTTTTTTTACTTTTTTAGATGCACCTTACTTAGATGTATCTAAAAATTAAAAAATTTGTGAAAAAATATTTTAAAATTTTAATAAATACATAAAAATACAAAATAACTAAATTCTCGTATTTTTTTTTATATATTTTTGGTATTTAGTGAATTTTTAAAATATTTTTTCATAACTTTTTTAACTTTTTAAGTATATTTATGTTAGGTATATCTACAAAGTAAAAAAAAAATTACTTAAAATATTAAAAAATTCCGTAAAAATAAAAAACACGAAAATAAAAAAGTAGAATTTTTCTGAAAAATGTTTTTGAAAAAAACACAGCCAAGCAATTAATTCTCTAACCGTTCATTTTTCTAGATAAAAGTAATCCAAATATATAGTATCCGTTATCTTGTAATTTTTTTACAGAAATAATATACTCAAATAAATTTTAAAATATGAATGATTCAGATTATCGAAAATAGACCTAAAAAGTGAATCTAATGGGCCAAACTAGACCAGATTGTCCTAAACCTAACTGGAGACCGTCCAAGCCTCCTCTTTTTTTTTTTTTTTTTTTTTTTTTGGGTACAAGGCGCTTTTCTAAGTTGCGTCCTTTGTATTAATTGTGTGAATGTAGTTGAAGTCATCCTTTGTCTTTTATAAATGATATTTGTGAGAAATGAAACAGCTAGGTATTCACTATTAGACTATAAATTTATGTTGAATCTTTTTTCAAAAATTACAAATGTTTTGAAAAAATTTACAATTTTGTGAAAAGCATATAGCTTTAATTATTAAAATTGATAAAATTTATCATTAATTGGTATTTTTTTTTTTTTTTTAAAACATGTACTGAAATACAATTTCTCCAAATTTTGTATGTGCGTGTTGGGGGTAATTTCCCCCCAAATACTTAAGAAAAATTGTTTGAAAAGTCTATTTTGAAGGGTGTATAGACACATTAGATCTAATAATTGTTTTATTAATAAAATTATTTAATTATTTTGTGAGAATGACAAACTATTATCTTGAAGATATATTATTTTTTTTCATTTTTATTCACTACCACTGGATTGTCACTCATCAAAAATATTATTGGAGATGGTCAACAAGGACTGGTGTGGGCAATTGACGGTAGATGTGGTGATGATGATATGAACAAATAGGTAAATTAATGAATAATTAGGTGAATTGGAAAAATAAGTAAAATTGAAAGATATAGAGGATAGCTAAGTAATGGGAACAATAAGGTGTTGTTTATTTGAGGGATGGAGGGTGGGAGGTGTGATAGGATTTATACTAGTTGTTTGGTTTTTCAATTTTGTTACAGATATTAGTACAAATGTGTTGGACCATTGTGTCTCATAGGGGGGTGAGACACAAATGGAGAGATAAGAGGGGATATGAGATTAGGTGGTGAAATGACCATTTTGACTCTCTATTATCTAATTATGTATTATATTTAGTAAAATTCAATAAAATTTAAGTCTCAATTTAAAATAAAATAATTTTATTTAATTTTTATTGATGTTTTATGTATTTATTTTTAATATTTTTTTAGATATTTTAATGATGTTTTATTTTAAAATTTTGTTTATATTTTATTTAATTTCATTATTTAAATTTTAATAGATGTTTTATTTAATTTCATTATTAATTATTATTATTTTAAAAAAAT